TAGAAAGATGAGTCTGTAGATTATCTATCTTCAAATCTCATTTTATTGCAACCTCCAGTGTGTTCTCCCCAACACATTGCTTCTGACAGAAAGCACAATTCATAGATTTAAGTTTTGTTCCTTTCCCCTCATGAAGAGTAGACTGGCCAAAACGTAGACAACAGGAGAGAAGTAGAGGAGCCAGAATAATCCACAGAAATAATTGAGTAAATCTGAGCTGTAGCAAAGACAGCCAATAAAATCCTTATGTTAACTTAATTACCGAAAGTAGCATATGTGCTAACTATTTTTGAGGAGATGAGAGCATTAGAACCAATGATAAATTGAGTTTAATCAAGGAATGAGTTAGGTAGGAAGAGGCACTTTGAATCTGAAGGAAGAAATAAATGGAAGACTACAACAGCAGGAAAAATACAGGCCTAGGAAAAAATTCTCTCTTTTCCTTTGGTGCTGGCCCATCTACATAACACAATTCTCTTGGTAGAAATCCTGAGGAATAAACTGAGTCACTCCAGACTCTGTAACTGGGAAGACTGTACTTAAACTTCCTTTTCCTGGGGGAGGAGGCAACAAACGAGGAATCTTAGTGTCACAACTTTTGTTCTAACTAGTACCTTCATTAACCAATTTCTTCTAGTGGTGCAAAGAACACTAAAGTGAGCAAAACCACTGCAAAATTTCCCCTTGGGAGAGGTGCAAACAGGGTTTAAGAATTGTCTTGAGCCATCTGTTGCTTTTTAACTTATTACAAGGCTTTGCAAATATTCCTGAGAACAACTCCAACCTGAGCTTACAATGAAGCAGCTGTCTGGCTGGGGCTCTGGTAGTGTAAACATGAACATGTGAAGGACCCTGAAGATTTTCATGCATGGCAACACACCAAGCCAAGGTGGGGTTAAATAATCTTGTGTAAAGAAAGGGAAGACAGGATGTATTGATATTTTAATAACGTGACAGTTTTCAACTCTCCATGGAGCTTTCGTTATATATGAGGTAACTACAAAATAGTGACTGAATTTCACTACTCTATAGAATTGGTATTCTATAGCCAAGGCTATAATTAACTTGACGTTGTGCTGTGGAATGTGGTGGAAGATTTTCCCACTGGGAAGTCACCTGTCAGTTTCTGAGCAAGATGTGCTTGTGGCTGTGCCAGGTCAGTCCTCCTGAGTTGGTGACCTCTTTGTGTCTGGAGAGACTAAGCAATGTGTACAGATGTTCCCTACTTCACATCCCCACGCCAGGCTGGTGGCATAAGCAGGAAAGGAGCAAAGGGAACAAACTAGGAAAAAGGAAGAGGGAAAATGTGCCACAGTGCTGCCTTCACCTGCCTCATGTAGCACTTGGTGATGACCTTGTTCACAAAAAAACATGCTTAACACATTAACCAAGGAAGCTAATGAAAGGTCACCAGCAATGACGGCTGATGCTGGGACTGCAAGGCATCTTATTCAATAGGACAAGGGAAGACACCAGGTGCAATTAGAAGTGGAGAACAGCCCTGGACATGATCTTCACTCTTATTTCTCTGTAGCAGAACAAGCTCAACGTCTAGACCAGCCTCCACAGTACCACGGAAACAAGAAGGCGGCTCCCCTTCTTGCAGGGCACACAGTGTGGCAGGCAGAGCACAGCCTGCCCTTGTGCAGTAAGCTGGCCTGTTTGCAGAGAACTGCCAAAACTGCTTTGCAGGGTCACAAAAATGGTAAAAACTGGAAAAAGTAGTAGACTTGGAGTCAGGAAAATTACAATCATTGCTTTGCCTCTCATATGCTAGAAGACTTCAGAAAAGTCACTAAACTCTGATTAGGTTTCCTCAATCTACAAAATGGGAATAAGAGGAATACAAATAGCTATCAGAACTTGAACATGAGTTGAGGTACGTGAGAGCACTAGAACAATCTCCAACATAATGTAAATGCTCAACTAATATTTGCTAAAATTATGATTGCCCAAAGTTTTCTTCTAGGGAAATGATATTCTAATATGGAAAAAATGTACACCCTAAACTCAAGCCCATCTCAAAGTTGGGAGGCTATCCCTAATGGCAGGTCGTGGTCCTCCAAAGACGAGATGTTTTCCTGGCATCCAGTGTGTTGCTGAGACTTCATGTGAGGGAATTAGTTCAGCGGCTATGTATGATCACCACTTCAAATTCCTTGAAAGATAAGTTTGTGTGAGAAGGCATAATAAGAGAAAGGAACGAGGAGGGAAAAATTTTTCTTACCTATAATAGGTAAGAAAAACATCTCTTAGAATGATTTAAAAATTCAGATGTCAAATATAGACATTTGTCCACGTCATGCCTTTATAGAAAAAGGCAAGGGTCAGGCATTACTTTCATATTAGAAGGAATTAGCACAAAGTCTGAGGAAATTACCAGCAGCAGTGGTTCAAAAATCCATGTTTCTGGGTTCACTGTTTACTCCCCCCAGGACAAACCTAGGCAGGTAGTAGCTGCATTTGATATAAGATGGGACAGAAACAGACAAGAGGAGATATCAGGGATGCCTTTGGGAGGGGAATGCACGAAATAAGTTGTTTCTTTATCTAGAATGTTCTATAGAGGACAATGATGATCATGAGAGTCCCCCTAAGGCACACTGTAGGTACTGACTGATTTCTGTGGGCCCAGAATTAATACTCTAATACAGAAAGGACAGACTGGCATCCTTTCACTTTGGTATTTTTCTCAAGAAACCTTCGCTGGCTTTTTGCCAAGTGATCAGAAATCATTACATTCAACAGAGCAGTCAAGATGAGTTCCAGAGGACTAACACAAACTTTTCCTCTATAGGTCAAAGAATGAGGAATGATAAATAGGCTGGCATTCTTAATTTTGATACTTGAGTTCATAAACAAGTTGGATTTATTCTTAAACTTAGAGATTGTGTTAATTCGGGGGCAAGAAGAAATGGCTTCCTACCTACTACAGCACCCCCTAAAAAGAGGAGGGGGATTTGAGAAATAATTTTTATCAAGTGTAATAGCAAAAAACAGGAACAGCTGTAAGAAGCAGTCTCATTACTGCTACCGCCTCCCACTGCCAGAGGCAGAGGACAAGGGAGTGAAGAAAACACGGGGACAAAGACACGCCCGCTACTCAGAGTCACTCTAGAGAAAGCCCATGAAACAAGCATGTTTACCATCACCCGTAAAACACAGTTGGCCAGATCACTTTGGGTTAATGTTCAACGGGTGGAAAATGCAGCAAGGAGCTGCTCCAGTAGCACATTTCTCCCACTTCTTCCTTATCTCCCCTTTTGTGCAGGTGCAGCCCCAAATACCCCATGCTACAGATCTCCTTTTCACAGCTCAGAAATGAACCTGGCTTCTATCAGCACTTGAATGTGCTCACCTATTTAAAAGTGTTAACACTGGAAGGAAAATATTTTATTAGTTTTTAAAAAAAGGTAACTCACTAGTTTTCCTGCTCTTAACCTATGCAGACACAAATATAGCAATCAGAATACAGAATAATCCAATGCAACTGTCAGTTCCCACAGAGGGAAAAAACTTCACTAATCCCATTCCCCCCCACCCCAGCACCTTTATCTACATTAATCAAGGTGCACCAAAACCCTTCATCATTCCCTAAAACTCGGAACATAAAGATATACTGCATGATAAAGATGTAAAAGACAGACAAAAACACTCTCAGACCTTTTCTTGACCAACTTTTAAATAGTACTGCTTTAGGGAGAGGATTTTAAGAAATAAATTTCAAAAAGAAAGTACATTTAAAACATTGGGTTTTGGTGATCAGGTAGGTAAAGTATTTTTATTATAAATTTCAGGATCTAAAAAGTAATTTGTTACATTTACTAAGATAATCTGAGATGACTTTTTTATCAAGCATGTGTGCCTGCATCATGACACTGTGACCCTCCGGCATGAAAGGACACAGTCCAGTCCCACCTCTCCTTTAGAGATGGGATTGGCCAGATGAAAGAATATTCTGCTGGTTCTCAACTAGCGTACACTGATTGGGATCATTCTGGTTTGTCACCCTGGCATTTGGGCTGTGAAGGGTTCTGGTGAAGAAGCCTCCGTTCTTGAACAACTTTTGAAAACCAAACTAGAATCTCGAGGGTAGCCTCAGTCTTGAGATTCAAGCTCACTGCCCCTATTTTTATTTCAGTAATATTTAGAAGACATTCTATATTTAATAAGAGTTATGATCCAATTGGTTCTGTAAGCTCAAGTATGAAAATCCTTACCACATGGCAAGAGGTCCACAGAGGAGCTAGATGACCAGTAAGAAGACAGGTCAGATATTGGAAAAAATACACTGGAGTTACAGTGAGCATCTAACAACAGAGATGCTGCTGGCTAGTAACCACAGGAAAGTAGGTGACTATGGACAAAAAGGCTGGAAAAGACCTCAATAGGTCATCTAGGCCATCCTCCTGCCTCTAAACAAGACAAATGTCTCTCTATCCAGAGTTACTTGCACTCTAAAGTAGGGAACCCCAGGTCTCTTTTATGTTCTTATTTTTATTTTTTTAAAAAAAGATCCCTAAAGGCAGCATCTTCACAAGACGGAGCTGTCATAAGCTTCAGCAACTTGATGGGTCTGAGCAGAAGTACAGAGCAGGCCCTCTCCCGCAGGACCTCGGAAGGAACCTGGGGTGACGAGCAGCAGTGCAGTACCTGAGCAGCTGAGACATGAGGGAGGGCACCCTCACACTAGAGGACAGGAAGGGGGAGAAGAGGAGCCAGAACACAGCCTGCTCATCAGGAGAGAGGAAACCCCAAGGGATGGACAGCCGATAAGCCAGTCTCTGAGGAGCCCACAGCTAAGCCCTCTTGGTTGGGAATTTCTATCTTAGATTCTCCTAGATTAGCCCTCTCCCTCTAAAGCAGTGGCTCTCAACAGGGGATGATTTTGCCCACAGGGGACATTTGGCAATGTCTGGAGACATTTTTGGTGTCATCACTGGGAGTGGGGTGCTACTGGCATCTAGTGGGTAGAGGCCAGGGATGTTGCTAAACATCCTACAATACACAGGGCAACCTCCTACAACAAAGAATTATCAAAATGTCAATACCACCAAGGTTGAGAAACCCTGTTCTATAGGGAGTACTTTACCCATAAGATTAATCTAGCACGAGCCAAGGCCCATGGAATTTACGATCAGATGATGGTGAACCCCTCTACCTCAAGCCCTGATGTGTGGATCTATCCACTGCCTTGTTGAGCAGAAGTCCCCAATCATCCCAGAGTGTTCCACAAATGTCCAATCAGCTGCTGGCAGTTCAAATTCCAGCCAATACAACTACGACCTTAGATCCTTTTTGTCTTCTTTGTCTTCCAAAGAATCTATTTCTTTCTCAGAGCTAGTGCTACTCCAACTGCTACTGCCAGGATGGCAACAGCAGCAGCCCCTCCAAACAGCAGCATGGACTGGCCCTCAGACAGTGGGATGGCCTTCGCTTCTCCAGCAGGGGAGGACTCCTCTCTGACACTCTCTTTCTCATGCAGTAGTGTTTGTATGGGCTCTAGCACAGGCATCACCTCCTCCTCCACTGCGACAGGTGCACTGGTTGCTGCTTTCACCTCTTCTCCATCAAGTTCTACGAACAAAGATGTAGCAGGGCTGGCTTGCTCAGCTGCAACCATTTCTGTGTCGGGTTCCCTTGTTTCCAACAAGGAAGTGGCAGTGATATGTGGAAGCAGGGGAGCTGGGGCTTCAGGGAATGCCTCTTGCAGCTCCCCAGCTGGCAAGACCACAGGAGCTACAGCAGCCTCTTCTGTGCCCTCAGGTATTTCTTCTTTCTCTACATGAACAATGTCAGAATTAGAAGAGTTGTTCTCACTCTTCTCTCCAGCTCCGTTGCTATCTAAGCTTTTGACTTCTTCAGGATCCATTGCAATCTGCTGCCAGGACTCAGGACCTAAGGACACTGGTAGGCTTTCTGTGTGCCAACTCTGGCTAGCTGATAGTGAGACAGGTAAGCTCTCTGACTGCCAAGAAGTGGTCACAGTTGGAGACTCTGGGGGACTGACTTGTCCAGAGTTGTCACTGGGCAGGATATAAATGTCATTGCTATCTTCTGCAATGATTCCAGGGTATTCCTCCTCCTCTGACTCAAGATTAAAGACAGTGCCCTAGAAAAGGAGGAGAGAGTCAATACAAAAAATGGTAAATATTTTTAAAATAGTCAATCTGGAAAAAACCTTTTTTCCCTAAACTTCAGTGGCAGAGATAAAAACATTGTTTAAACCTAGATAGTTTCACTATAAAACTTCTAGAAGAAAACGCAGGGGAAACACATCAAGACATATGTCTTGGCAAAGACTTTTTGAACAGTACTTCAGGGGACTGGCTGGTTAGCTCAGCTGGTTAGGTGCTGCAGCCTTATAACACGAAGGTCACAGGTTCAGATCCCTGAACCGGCCAGCTGCCAAAAAAGAAAAATGAAAAAAATGAATGATACTTCAGAATCATAGGGAACAAAAGCAAAAATTAACAAATGGGATTATATCAAACTAAAAAGCCTTTGCACAGCAAAGAAAAAAATCAACAGAGTGAAAAGACAACCTTCAGAAAGGGAGAAAATATTTGCAAACTATGCACCCAACAAGGGATTAATATCCAGAATATACAAAGAACTCAAACAATAGTAAAAAAAAAAAGTCCAATTAAAGAATGGAAGGGAATTAAGTAGATTTTTTTTGAAAGAAGACACATGAATGGTCAACAGGCATTATGAAAAAATGCTCAATGTTGCTAATCATCAGAAACATGGATATCAAATCCACAATGAGATACCATCTCACCCCAGTTAGAACAGCTATTATCAAAAAGACAGTAATGGGGCCGGCCCGGTGGCGCACTGCACTAGTGCGCTGCTTGGGAAGCGCGGCGGCGCTCCCGCCGAGGGTTCGGATCCCACATACAGACCGGTTCCCGCTCACTGGCTGAGCGAGGCGCGGGGGC